AGCCCGCCGCGCCGCTCCCCGCTCGCAGCCTCCGCGCCTCGCTCCGCGCCGACATGGTAAGCCCGACTCTCCCTGTCTCCCTCTGCAGTCAGAAGAAAAAGCCGCAGCATGCTGCCCGCCAGGCTTGATCTCTGGCTGTTAGGGGGCCGTGGCGGGAAGCAGAGCAGGAAAAATCAACCCGTGGGAGGGAACTGAGAAGAGAGGACCTTCTCCCTGGAGTCACAGCCCGGGGCGGCCGCGGGAGATTCTCTGTTTCCCGGGCGGAGATGAGGGGCTGGCGCTGCGGGGGCCGCCCCCGGTCCCACCCGGCAGGGAGGGGGAGGGGGCGGGGGTCCTGCTTGTGCTGCGGGCCCCGCGCCACCCGGGTCCCCGAGGCCAGGAGACAGGTCACGGGCAGGGGTGGAGGTCTGTGCGCGGCACCGGCTACGCCCATGGACCAGAAAAGGCACATTTCAGAACTGTGGTCTGAGCCCTGGGAAAATGGAAGTTTCAGTAACTGCAGGCAAAAGGCCAGGACACAGAGACGGAAGCAAGCCCGTCCCAGGAACAGCCTCAGCCAAGAATGTGGAAGGAGCCCAGCCCAGCTAAGCCCCTCCTTTCCTTTCCTTTCCCCACCACCTTTTTAGACACTCACTGCACCACCTGGATGGCTCCTGCCATCCCCACCTTGAATTCTCCACCTTTTCAGTTAAGCCACCTCCAAAATCTACCTCCTCTTTGGTGAAAGGAGTCAGCAAACCTCCACCCAGGGACCAAATGGGGTTTCTGTTCCCTCCCCAAGCTACCAATGGATTTTGCATTTTTAAGTGGCTCAAAGGAAATCAGAGGAAGAATACTACTTTGTGACACATGAAAATTACATGAAAATCACACTTCAGCATCTACAAGTCAAGTTTTATTGGCACAGGCGGCCACACCCATTCATTTACCAGTTGTCTGGTTGCTGGTCCGCTACAAACGCAGAGTGACTAGTAGTCATTGTGGACCACAGAACCCTAAATTATTTATCATCTGGCCATTTACCAAACACATTTGCCAACCACTGCTATAGTGTGGCAATCTGTCTCCCCACCTAGCTAGTCTTTTCCTCTTCTCCTTTCCATGCAAAAGGGACAGTCAAAGTCACATGGAAACTTGGAAAGGCAGAGCCAACACCAGTAGGCGGTGAAACCTGGCGTGACTGCCCTGGAGGAGGAAGGTAGATGACACCATGGGTCCTTGGAAGGAAAGGGGGGGTGTTGGTTAAGAATGAGAACTGTTTTTCTTTCCTCAAATGCTGAGTGTTTAGTATGCATTTTTTAAATTCTTTCACTCTCATGGTTCCTACCAAATACAACTCTGAGGATGCAGTGAGGTTTGTGGAGCCCTGGCCTCCAGGCAGGCGATCCCCTGTCTCCTCACCTTCAGCCACTGCCCCACCTGGGGCAGAGCTTTCCAATCTCTGGGCCTCTCTCCTTGGGAACCATCCCCAAAGATCCCTCCAGCTGTACAAATTCGGCAATTCCATTTCAGTAATTTGATAATTGTGTTTCTTTTGCTCTGGAAAATTACCTCTGGGGTTTTAGTTTTCTCCATGTGGCTGATAGCAAGTTTTCAAAAGGACAAAAATAGTCTGAATTACTACAGCCAAGAATGATTGTTAAGAAGGAAAAACTAAAGCAGAAGGCCACTTTGAATCTGGAAAGCAAAGCAAGCTGAATCCCACAAGGAAACGGGGCAGAGGGAGCTTCTGTAGGTCTATTAAAAGATCACAAATCCCTTGCTCCTTAATATGGAACCTTCTACCCTGTCTGGTAGGCCCTCTTAGCCGCTCTTGTTCCTGTCATCTGATACACTAGTAAGACAGTGAGATTTTAGTCCTGATAAGAAAAGCTGTTGTGCAAACACATCTGTTTCTAGGCTGTGCTGTTTTGTTTCTCCCCCAAACCCTGAACCTACCAACACTTTTCTCTCCTTAAGAAAGAAGCTGCAACAGTGTGACTGTTGGGAAGGAACCCACCTCTGGAAGGGTTCTTTAGAATCACCTTTGGAAGGGCTTTATAGAACCTCCAAGACGAAGTGGGTAGCAGGCACCCGGGTAGGCTGGCAAAGCACCTAGAGAGACTGAGAGGCGAGAAAAAAAGCCTACAGAAAGCAGGAAAGGAGGCCTCCCCCCGCGCAGCCTCGAGGCTCTGATCAGTCCGTAGCACGTTAATTACGGGGCCTGACAGCCTCTGGCTCTGGGCTCCAGGAAGTACATCTCAGGAAAAGTCACCCTCCAGACGTAGATCATGGTTAATGCCCCAGACAAAGCTTTAGAGGAAGGGTGTGGCCCGCAAGTTTTGCAGAAAGTGTGCAGTTGCTGCCCTTCTCCACCAGGGGGAGCCCCGCCGTTCTTCACTTGGGGCCGCGTGCCCGCTGGAAGGCTGGGCACCCCCAGCAGGAGAATTTACTTGCAGACCTCGCCCAGGGGAAGCGGAGCCCAGCGCAGGGTTTCCACCCCCTGCTCCTGGTGCAGCCACGGGAACTGCGCGAGCCGCCACCCGAGAGCCCCCATCTCAACCCTCCTGGTGTGAAGTAACCGGAGACGCCCCCCAGCCGTTCCTGTGGGAATTCGTGGCATCTGGAAGGAGCAGGGGCGAGGGCTGGGGGCTGCAGGAAGGGACCTGGAGGCGAGATTCTAGGGGTGGTCTCCGTGGCCATTCCCTTCTCATGCCTCCATTTTCTCCGGTGTTAAATACATGGTTGCTGCCCACCCGGAATGAATGGCTCAGTTGGCTGAGCGTCACCCTGGGCACCAGAAAGTTGCCATTTCCATTCCCTGTCAGGGCACATGCCTGGGTTTTGGGTTCAATCCTCAGTCGGGGCATGTATAGAAGGCAACCGATTGATGTTTCTCTCTCACATTGATGTCTCTTTCTTCCTCTCTCTAAACATGTCCTCAGGTGAAGATTAAAAATAATAATAATAAAAATACATGATTTCTAACTTTCAAATATGAAAGCTGCTTTTGAACATCAAAAAAAATCCTCAGATCTCCCACCCCATACACAATAATAGCTATGCTTTTCATTTTCTTCTAAAAAATGCCTGAGTCCCAGGAATTCAGTATTGCTTTAGAAATAACCGCCATTTCATTCATCACAGTAGTCTCCATATACTCTTGGAAAACAGGAAATTTTTAAATCTGTAGACAATGCTTGGGTATGCACATGGATGTGTGGATGTATAGTTATACATATATTTACCCACATGTCCTAGAAATATCAGTGGACCCTGTCACCCTTCCTCTCATCTTGGCAGTCAACTGCTTTCAGACTTACCCATGTGCTCCATGCTTACTCTCACTGCATTTCACCTGGAATAAACATGATGCGATGTGGGAGGGAAGCTCACAAAATGTGACTTTCTATGCTTGTCTTAGGGCTCTTAGCCCCCTTAAAAAAAAAAAAAAAAAAAAAAGTCTTTTAGGAAACTCCTTTGATCCAAAATGAAGAGACGGGATTCTCTGGGAGTGTTCTCTAACTTCAGTCCTTGATATGTTGCCCTTGTCTGAGCCCTGAATTTTTTTTTTTCTCCAAAGGCAAAAATGTCCAGCCCCACAGAGACCGAGCGGTGCATCGAGTCTCTGATTGCTGTTTTCCAGAGGTACGCTGGGAAGGACAGGAACGCCAGCACCCTCTCCAAGACTGAGTTCCTAACCTTCATGAATACAGAACTGGCCGCCTTCACTAAGGTACTGGGCCCAGCCCTCCCCCGCCAAGCTACCCAGAGCATGAAACAGACTGGCAGAGTCGCCAGGAACGGAGGGCCAGCAGCTAACCCGCCCCCACTCTCCCGCCTCCTTTACATTCACTGGGGAGGGGGGGTCCACGGAGCAGCCTGGCCCAGCGCCTAGGCCTCAGAGTGAGCTCTGAGTGACTAGTAAAGGATCCTTTTGCCTTCTTTTCTTTGAATAAGATGCATTTTAAAGATCAAAGTTATCAAATTACCTGACATAGGGAAACTTCCTTACCATTGAAGAAAAAGAGCTTGCAAAATGGTAAATGGCCTAATAGAAGGGTTTTCTAATTTTATTCCTCTATGCCTAAGCCTCTAGGGCAGTGCTGTCCAAGAGAACCTTCTGCAGTGACAGAAAAAAACAGCCTATATGTGCAGTGTCTGATATGGTAGCCACTGGCCACATGGCCTACTGACTTCTAAGTGACTTAATGTAAGCAGCCAGGCATGACCGGTGACTTGGGCGAGTGGAGGGCAAGGCTTATAGACAGGGCCTCATCCTGCTTTCACTTCAAGTCTCTCTGCTTTTGTGTAAGTTATATGTTGGTGTTGCGACAGAACCATCTCTAAGTGACTCACTTGGAAAAAGTGTTCCACTGTTTTTATAAAATTTGAATAACCCCTGATTGTCACATAAGGTACCCTGGACTAGGAGCCAGAAAACCTGGGTTCAAGTCTCAGGTCTTCCCCCTTAAGCAAGTCACTTTGCCTCTGTTTCTGCATCTGGGTAGTGGGAATACTAGAACCCCTACTCTTGTAAGAATAAAATGTGGCAACATGTTTGAAAGCATTTTAGAAAGTACAACATAAAGATACTACCATTATTATTATTATTATTATCATTGTTATTATTACCTTTGCAGAACCAGAAGGACCCCGCAGTCCTTGACCGCATGATGAAGAGATTGGACACCAACTCTGATGGGCAGCTAGATTTCCAAGAATTTCTTAATCTTATTGGTGGCCTGGCGGTAGCTTGCCATGACTCCTTTAGCCGTTCCCAGAAGTACGTCTGAGGGGCCCGTGGAGCTGGCCTTCAGACCCGGCCCCTTCCCAATCATCATCATCTTTTCACAGACCACACACACCCTGAGCCCAGAGTTCCTACCACCCCATGCAGGCCTCTCCTGCTGGTAGTAATAAAACATATTTTTTAAAACACACACTGGAGAGTCGGTAAATTCTTGTAAGGGAGGGAGAAGTGTGGGAGGAATGTAAGTTGGCTTGATGGAAGCAGTTACTGGAAGCTGCACAGTAAATAAAAATGCATCTTGGGTATGTACATCATCATGGCTAATGATGCAGAGGGAGCCATCTCCAAATTACTCAGACTGATGGAGAGACGTTACGAGGTTTGTTGCAAATTAACGGGGGCTGGGGGAGGGCAGTCTTCTGAGGAGATGACATCTGTGCTGAGAGCCAAAGGATAAGAGGGAGCAAACATTTAGAAAGGTGGAAGGGGGCATTTCAAGAGGAGGAACAGCAAGGGCAAGGTCCTCAGGTGAGGAGTGGGATGCGGGAAAAATGGGAAGGAGGCTAGTGTCCAGGCCTTCATGTTTGGCTGTGCGCTGGTATCAACATTAGTTTTAATTTTCTAAGCCCTCCAGCAAAGCTGCAGGGAAAGAGCCTAGAAAGAAAGTTAGAGGCAGGCCCAGGGTTAAAGAAAACAGATTAGAGAAGGAGAGAAGCATGTTTAGAAGATTAACATTCATCCCTAAACAGAAAGAAATATCCAGATGCTAGAAGCCAAAAGGGAACTCCTAGCTGTGACAGTATGTGGGAGTTGAGGCCATGTGACCCTGGACTGAGGTGGAGAACAGGAACTGAGCTCTTAGCTAAAGAGTTGCCCTGTCACCCGGCCAACGTGGCTCAGCAGTTGAGCATGGACCTAGGATCCAGGAGACCTCAGTTACATTCCTAGTCAGGGCACATGCCCGGGTTGCAGGCTCGATCCCCAGTAGGGGGCGTGCAGGAGGCAGCTGATCAATGACTCTCATCATTGACGTTTTTATCTCTCCCTCTCCCTCTCTTTGAAATCAATAAAGACATATTTTAAATAAAAAATAAAAAAGAGTTGCCCTGTCAGCGATGAAGACAGAAAAGCTCAGTCTTCACCATCCCAGACAAGACTCAGAATGATCCAAGGGGGATCAGGGAAGGGAAGGGCATGAGACAAAGTCATCTGAGAGAACTCAGAGCACTGCACTTGTGCTTCCCGAAGGCATGGGGCTCAAACACACACTGCTCCCTGGTACCGAATCCCCAGGCTAAGAAATTAGCTAAAAAGTGTCCAGAAGCAGTAAGCACCATAAAACCCTAGGTAAATGCAAACCCCCTCGCAGAGACACATCTGGCCATTTGGAAGATTTCCACAGAAGATAAATCCTGCTAAAATGGGCTCACAGACAAACATAACCTGGCACATGAGGGACCATCAGTACATGCAAATGATGAGAGACTTTGCACCCAGGTAACAAGACAGAGCAATCCGGAAAGGACTTGAACATATCTTTAAAATGTCCAAAAAAATAAAGCAAGAAATAGGATACATAAAACAAGGAGTACATGAAGAGAAAAAAAGAAGCAAGTAAAGAACCTATAAATAAAATATATAGTCAGGCAAATGTAGAAAGAATTGCGAAGCTGGGCATTCCCCCCAACAGTTCCAGGCCCAGCTATGGTGGTGGTGGAGAGGATCTCTCCCCACTCACCGCACCTCAGGAGGACCTCGTGGCTCCTCTCACCTGCCCACCTCACAGTGACCCTCTTGTACTGGCCATGAACCTGGTGAGAGATGTGTTGGGAATTCTTGCAGAGAGATGGAGAGGACCACACCTGTGCAGCAACTGCAATAATTCATGCTTTGTTTCTCTGCTCTCCCTAATCTCCTGAATCTCTCCAATCATTACCCAACACATTCTTGGATGACCGCAGTCAAGAAAGAAAACTCTGGGAGGGAAAGGCAAGTCTGCACTGGCTGGGAGCTGGGTTCTGATTAACTCGGTCGCTCTGTGTGAACAGGTAATCCCTGCCCTCGCCCCACCTCTCTCAACTAACATGGCAACTGAAGCGGAGAGAAATGTTCCTGTCACCAGACTCATATTTTATGTTCACAGCAACTTAGTTGCAACATTATCATTAAACGTGACCTGCAGAGTCACCAGTGAGAATGCAAGACAAAGACGAAGACTCAGGAAGGTTGTGAATCCAGCCCATGAAGAGGTGAACTGGTAGAGGAAGGAACCCAAATGTGAAAGATGGACAGGGTGCGAACTAATACCAGCGAGGCAGCAGAGGTTGCTTTGGAAAGGCTAGCTCACCCTCTCCTCATTTTCTCCCACTAAACCTCTAGTCCTTGCAGTCGGGCTGCTTTCTCCTTCCTCCCCGTGGCTAAAATTGCTCTCCCAGGATCAAACCAGCCCTTACCGCATCACCAAATCCAATAACCTGGTCGCCACCTTCAGAGTCCTCAAGCCACAGCACTGCCATCAGTGGACTGCACCCATGTCCCCCTGAAATCACTCCTTCCTGGATTCTCTCCACACCATAATGTCTTCTTCCCCTGATGTTAGAAAATCTGGATTCTGGTCTTCAACCTACCATGCACCAATGTGTGATCTCAAGCAAGCTCTGAGTCTCTTCCTATCTTAGCTGAGAAATGGAGATAATGGTACCTACCCTATCTTCCCACAGGGTCGTTACAAGGCTCAAGGGAAATAATGACTGTGCAGATGCCCTTGAAGGAGAATCCTAGACACAAATGTTTTGTTATCCATTCAGCTGCCATATGCCTTTTGATTTGGAGCATTTAGTCCATTTACATTTAAAGTAATTGTCGATAAATGTGTAGTTATTGCCATTTTATTATTCATGGTTTTATCTATTCTTTTCTTCCTCTTAAAGAAGTTCCTTTAACGTTTCTTGTAATACTGACTTGGTGGTGATGAGCTCCTTTAGCTTGATCTTGTCTGGCAGACTGTGTCTTTATTTCTGCATCCACAGCATTTAGATAGTGTCAGGCATAAAGCTGACACTCAGTAAATATCTGAATGAATGTACAGAAATGATTTGTAAAATGTAGCAAGTTTTCCAAATATTGGTTACTATTTTCCTCACTTTAAAGATGAAGAAACAGGTTCAGAAAGGTTAGGTGACTTGCCCTAGATCTCAAAGCTAATGAATGGGAGAACCCGAGTTCGAAAACCTATTTTCTAATCCTGCTTCTACCTCGGTACACCATTAAAAACTACTAAGAAGAAACAAATGTTATCATGTGTTAAGCTGATGGGCAGCTGTTTCATAAAAGGAAGTTTTCTGTCACTGATGAAACTTTACAACACACATAGCTATGCATCTGCTGTTGCCTTGTAAGACCAGATTATGCTGAGAAGTTTGAATGTCTTTTAAAACATGGAGAGCTTTAATTCACTTATTTACTAGAATCAATTAAGTCACATTTTCCAAAAAGAGAAACTGAGCATGCTCAGGCTGAGATGGGAATAAGGGAAAGAAAGGGGCCGCTCAGGAGCAAGCAAACCCCACTGCAAAGCTACTCACTGGGCAGCCACCGGAGGGCCCCACAGCATTAGCTAGGAAGCGAGGACACTCCCTCTCCCAGTACCCAGGGCCTCAAGGCAGCTTCCAGCCGGAATGGGACTGCAGGGAACCCCAGAGCTCGCTGCTGGCTGACGTTGCTGAGGAGTCAGTTCAAACCAGGCAGCCAGCATTTCACGAGGGGTTTGAGTCATGGGCTCCGTGGAGTCGCATTTCTGTGGGTCTGAGCCCTCCCTGACCACATTCCAACATCAATGAACACAGAGCATGTGTGGCTTAAATAACTTTCCCTCTCATGCGGCCCACAGAGTCTCTGCCCGGAACACCACTTGCTCTCAAGGCTTAATAAAGAAAAGGGAGCTGCATGGCAGGCTGGCAGACCACAGCCCAGGGTGGGCAGGTCCTGTCCTGCAGAGTTCTGCCCCCACACCAAGCATTCCTGGGGGCCAATCTGGTGTTCTGGTCTGGCCTAATTCCTCATCTCAAGGGACAGGATCTTGTTTTCTCCCTCCTTGGAAGAGACCTGGGAATCAGCGTTCCTTACCACTAGAAATGAAAGGGAACCTAAAACCCCCAGGCTCTGCTCTGTCGGCCACCCCAACCCATAACATAGGCAGATCCACCAGCTTATGACTGATTTTCATTACGTTTTCGCTTGTCTCCTTTTTGAGTGTTTGAAAGAGGCTGGATATATTCGGGAAAATATTTTTAAATAATCATAAGACCTTGAGGGGTTGGTTCCTATCTTCAGATAGCTCCACATAAATCACTTCATATAATCCCCACAATAACCTGCCCCCAGGAGAGTACCGGAAACCCACTGTACAGGCAAGGGCGCAGCCGGAGCAGAGAGGCCTTGCCCACGGTGCAAAGCGACCGTGCCGCAGAGCCGGGACTCAGCACAGGCCTGTCTGGGCCCGGCCCCCCCGCACTTAGTAATAATTATTACACTTCACATGAGTGGGCACTTACTTTGTGCCAGGCACTCTGCTAAGTATTTACATGCATTTTCTCATTTATAGTCACAACATCCTTATGAAGCAGGTACTACCATCAAGTCCATTTTCCAGATGAGAAAACTGAGGTTTGGAAAAGTTAGGTGACATGTCCAAGATAGCCGACAAGTGACAGAGAACACAGGATTCACGCCCAAGCCTGTGCTCTTAACCAGCGTTACCCAGCGTACCGCCTCTCGGGACCTCATCCCAGCCACCCTCCCCGTGCCCGCCGCACTGCAGGCGCACAGCGGCTTTTCAATTCCGCTCGCAGGCCCGGCCCTCCGGGCCTCCCAGCCTGTGCCAGTGCTCCCCCCACCAGGAAAGCTTCCTCCTCACTCCTCCTTTACTTGCAACCCTAGTTCCTCTTCTTCCTCGAAGGCTGGTTTAAACGTCCCCTCCTCTGCGTAGTCTTCCCTGGCTTTTCCTCTCCTTCCCTTTGGTCATTCTCTCATTCAGACCCTTGTATTTCCCATCAAGGGTTTTGTTTTCTCCTTTTCTTGTGCTTTATTTGTCTTCCCCAGCAGATTGTAAGGCTTCTGAGGGCAGAAATGTGTCTGTCTTGGTCATTAACATACCTCAGCGCCCAGGACATGCTCAGTAAGTATTTCATA